ATGAACCAAAATGGTCCCAAAATGAACCCAAGATGAACCAAAATGGTCCCAAAATGAACCCAAGATGAACCAAAATGGTCCCAAAATGAACCCAAATGAACCAAAATGGTCCCAAAATGAACCCAAATGAACCAAAATGGCCCCAAAATGAACCCAGGATGAACCAAAATGGTCCCAAGATGAACCAAAATGGCCCCAAAATGAACCCAAGATGACCCAAAATGGTCCCAAAATGAACCCAAGATGACCCAAAATGGCCCCAAAATGAACCCAAGATGAACCAAAATGGTCCCAAGATGAACCAAAATGGCCCCAAAATGAACCCAAGATGAACCAAAATGGTCCCAAAATGAACCCAAATGAACCAAAATGGCCCCAAAATGAACCCAGGATGAACCAAAATGGTCCCAAAATGAATCCAAGATGACCCAAAATGGTCCCAAAATGAACCCAAGATGACCCAAAATGGTCCCAAAATGCACCCAAATGAACCAAAATGGCCCCAAAATGAACCCAAATGACCCAAAATGGCCCCAAAATGCACGAGCGCTCCCGGGGCTCTCCCTGGGATCAGTTCTGCTCCATTGGCACCTTGGAGTTCATTCCCATTCCAGCTCCAGCCCATCAGTCCCACCCTGCTTGTTTTTCTCTCTCCAGCCCACGGTGTTTGTGCTCCTGGGCTGAGGTTTGGATCATTTGTCCTTGGTGCCCAGCTGGAGCAGGAATTGTTTTGTGTCCCTGCTCTGTGCACAGAGCTCACCATCCCATCATGAGAAGCTCAGACCCTCACACCAAAGCAGCTCAGAATGTGAAAAATATAAAAACTAAAACCTGAGGCATCATTTAGGATTCATGACCTGGCCAGACCAGGGTGCTCTGAGGATTCTCCTGCTGCTGATGGGCTGAAAATCCCAATCCTGCTGGGATTTCTGTGCCTTCCTGCTGCTCCAACACCTCATTTCCTTGAGTTTTTCCAAGAGAAAAGGCAGGATCAGGCTGGGTGTGTCCACCCTGGGGATATTTTCAGCTGTTCCTGCGTGGCCACACTTTGGCAACCCCTGGCATGAGGCAGATGCCAGGTGTCATTTGAATAATCCAGTATTTTTATCCCTAAAAACTTCCATCAGCCTGGCATTGCATGCTGGAATTTTAGAATTTGAATTTTTCTTCAGAATTTCATCCTTTGTTAATCTCCAATTTATTGGACGATGCTTTGGGGCCAAAATAACAAATTGGCATGGCAATACCCTAGAGAGGATTTTTGTTTGGTAGCAGCTCTTCCAGGAATAAATTCCAGGAATGTCACAGGGATGAGGAAAACAGCTCTGTGGGAATGGAAGCAAGAGGAAAGCTGAGGGTTGGGTGATTCCCTGTCACTCCAACGATTTGATAACAGGAAAGGAGTCACCGAGGGATTTTGCTCCTGGAAATTCAAATCTCCATGGGAATGCAGGCCGGGAGTGCTGTGGGTACCCCCTGGCAGGAGAGCAGGAAGAACTGCTCTGGTTTCCATGTTTCCATGGCTGCGTTCCCGAGGCTCCTGGAAGGACGGGGAAGAGGAGGAAGGGAGCACTGGGAGATCTCTCGGATTGAAGGATGTGTCCCGAGCTGAAGCTGGGTTTACAGAAAATCCATCCAGCTGGGTCCTTGCTCCTTCCTTTTCCCACATTTTGGCTTTTATCCGAGCATTCCCAAGCTGCACGGCCTTCTTCAGGATGGGCATCCCAATGAACTCCAGTCAATTTAAAATATTCCCTCTTCCACAGCAGAAGCGGAGCAGAGGCAGGTGAGGAACGTGGAGGAATCTGAGCACGCCCCGAGCCACGCTGGGGACGTGATCCTGGGAAAGGTTCTTGGAGCTGTCCTTGGGCACGTCCCAGCCTGGCTGTCTGCAGCCTCCTCCTGGCTTGTGGCCTTCCCTGTCAGTTCATCCCTTGGGATGGATTTATGGTCATCATCTCCAGCCCTTGGGATGGATTTATGGTGATCCTGTCCATCACCAGGGATGGATTTATGGTCATCATCTCCAGCCCTTGGGATGGATTTATGGTGATCCTGTCCATCACCAAGGATGGATTTGTGGTGCTCGTGTCCATCACCAAGGATGGATTTGTGGTTCTCATCTCCATCTCTTGGGATGGATTTATGGTCATCATCTCCAACCCTTGGGATGGATTTATGGTGCTCATGTCCATCACCAAGGATGGATTTGTGGTGCTCGTGTCCATCACCAAGGATGGATTTGTGGTTCTCATCTTCATCACCAAGGATGGATTTATGGTCATCATCTCCATCCCTTGGGATGGATTTATGGTGATCCTGTCCATCACCAAGGATGGATTTGTGATTCTCATCTCCATCTCTTGGATGGATTTTTGGTGATCGTGTCCATCCCTTGGATGGGTTTATGGTGCTCACCTTCATTATTTGGGATGAATTTATGGTGATCGTGTCCATCACCAAGGATGGGTTTGTGGTTCTCATCTCCATCCCTTGGGATGGATTTTTGGTGATCGTGTCCATCCCTTGGATGGGTTTGTGGTGCTCATCTCCATCCCTTGGGATGGATTTATGGTGATCGTGTCCATCCCTTGGATGGGTTTGTGGTGCTCATCTCCATCCCTTGGATGGATTTATGGTGATCGTGTCCATCCCTTGGATGGGTTTATGGTGATCGTGTCCATCCCTTGGGATGGATTTTTGGTGTTTGTCTTCATCACTTAGGATGGATTTATGGTGATCATCACTCAAGATGGGTTTATGGTGCTCACGTCCATCCCTCAGGACAGATTTATGGTGCTCGTGTCCATCACCTGGGATGGATTTGTGGTTCTCATCTCCATCCCTTGGATGGACTTTTGGTGTTTGTCTCCATCCTTCAGGATGGGTTTATGGTGCTCACGTCCACCATTTAGAATGGATTTATGATAATCATCTGTATCCCTCAGGATGGATTTATGATCATCTCCATCCATTGGGATGGATGTTTGGTCTTTATCTCCATTCCTTGGGATGGGTTTATGGTGCTCATCTCCATCCCTTGAGATAGATTTATTATCATCTCCATCCCTTGGGATGGGCTTATGATCATCTCCATCCCTTGGATGGGTTTACGATCATGTCCATCCCTTGGGTGGGTTTATGGTGCTCATCTCCATCCCTTGGGTGGGTTTATGGTGCTCATCTCCATCCCTTGGATGGATTTGTGCTCATCTCCATCCCTTGGGATGGATGTTTGGTG